CGGCATTGAGCTCTTCCTCACATCTATCACATACTCATATACTTTACATGAGATTCAAGCCTGGTGCTTACAAATAAACACTGGCGACGCGTTTCAGTATTTAGTTCCCAAATACAAACGATAAATGAGTTATACCCTATTTATGTGGTGTTAAAGTTTTTATATTAACAGCAGCTGCACGCAGCTAAATATGCTAAGTTATTCTCAAAACAATGTCCGCATCAAAACAAAATATGTAAGTAAGTTACTCCAGCGCGTTTATGTTAAACAGGTGAATCCAGTTTATCGCTTAAAGAAAGTAAAACGGCATCTTGGTTAAGAATTATTTCTCTTAGGTCAGTTAGCAATGTAGCGTCATGACTGTGGACCTGTAGCTAGAGATGCTAACTAACTACTGTAATATGCAGTATAACTGGGTTCTGTTTAAATCCTGTAGGTAATCCAATGTTTACTGTTTACGATCATTTAAAGTCATTTATAAAGAGACCATCGGAGTATATATTTAGCGATAAAGCGATAAAACGTCTCCACACTAGATGTTTAGAGCAGGATAACATAAGCGATGCTTTCTGCTGTCGATTAATCACCCTGCCGCGATAGTAAGTAATTAAAACTATTTTGTTTTCTGCTCAAATAGACGCATCTGTCTGACGAGCTCGTGTAAACATTTTTATTTTTTATTTCTAGTATGCGTAAATATAAAAAGACGTAGGCTTTATCGATATGATTTCTTGTGCGTTGTCAGGGGAAAGCAATCGAGCACAAACTTGTTCACCTTGAGAACAGTGGCCCATTCATGAATAACATGAGTGGAGCGATGGTAAAAAGTTCAGTGATTTTCCACTTTGACTCATACACCCTTGTGCTTTATTTGACTTTATTTGTTGGTTTCTGTACATATTGTTTACTCTTTTTTTTTCCCCAGCACAATTTCCAAAGGCAATTTGCATAAACTGCATATGTCAGTTCTCAACTGAAAACTTCTGGATCAAACAATAGAGTGTGTAAAATGAACACGAAGTTTTGAATTTTCAGTTTACATGTAACATTTCTACAAAAATAAATGTATAATTACAAATGTAGGTTTTCTTCTGTGCATTACAGTTTTGACTTTTCCTAGTAAATTTGATCTGCAGTAAGCACAATGTAATAAGCACAATGAAGAAGATTCTGAGCAGTAGAGTCCTTTTTTATAAATCCAACATAAACATTTAGGAAATCTCTGGAGCTAGAATAATCCACAACCACATATAGCAAATATTACACAGAACACTGAACACTTGAGGAATTAAATACAATGGAGAGCTAAAAGAATTGAACAGATGCGTGTAATTAATTAGGAGCTATATGTAAACTAATAGGCCCAGGGAACACAGGCAAACCAGAGGGAAAACCGATCTGTTACACAGTATATGCCCTCTCCCGAAAAGCAGGCAGCCAGCCAGGCAGGCTAACAGACAGACGGATGGTTAGACGGATGATAGAGACACAGACAGACAGACAGAATGTACATAATATCTTAAGAGATCATTTCTCACCTGTGCAGAATGGTGAACAGGGTTTGACCTCTCCAAGCTCAACATTGTGAAATATTAACAATCTGTCTTTGACATTTGGAAATCAACAAATCAGTGTTTGCTTCAACTTGATTGCAAGTAATGATTGTTCACCTCAGCACAATGATTCATTCTGCACCTTTTGACCCTAAGGCATTATGCTGTGGTACAAAAACAGACAGCTAAATATAATTTTGGAAGGTTTTCTTTCTTTTAGAGAAGGTGAAAGGCTGATTACAGTATACTCACTAGATCTAATGCTAGTTAAATATTAGATACGAAAGTTAGGAACATTTTTGGCTGGAAAACATTTATAGGTAAAATGGTTCTGGAGAACTGAATCTGAAGCAGTGCAATTATAGAATGGCCTTTAAACAAATTATAAATAATAACCATGTTATTCTGTATTTGTCAGGGTTCTGTCACTTCTGTCTGTCATTTACTGGTTGGTGACAGAGCTCTGACATTCTGTGTTTATGTTTAGTCTGGTTTACTGTGAGCACATGGCTGGTCTTGTATTCCTTGTGCCATGTGCTCTCCTGTCAATTGTCTAGTCCTGTCCTTGTTTGTTGTCCATGTTTCCATCATGTTCCCTGTTCCCGCGCTTGGTTTCTCCCACGGGGTAGTTTTGGTTTTGCCTTTTATTTACTTAATAAACATCCTTATTTCTGCATTTGTATCCTCTCTTCACTTTTGACCATTCCGTGACAGCTTTCTCAGAAACCCATAATTAAGAAAGATGAATTCATGCCTTGGTTCATTTAAGTTTAAGCACTTTAAATCATATTAAGTTGATTAAACAGCTTTTCTATCTGCTAGAAAATCTCAGAACATCAAATATCCTGGTGTCATTTTTTTATACAAATGCATAGTTAAAAACACGTCATTTGCCTATGCTAAGGTGATTTTATGACTTCGCATAAGTTGAGTCACGTGTTTATTTAGACATTTCACACCTTTTGGAAGTGTTTAAATGTCTCTGATGACTTTATCATTAATTATTCCTTCTGAATTTAAACCAGAATATCTAAACACCCGTGTTTAGTAAAATATAATTTTTACTGCTGAGTTGCTGTTTGAGTCATTTTACGATTTTACATAATTTCAATAAACAAGAAAAAATAATAAACAAGAAAAAATATAGGAAAGAACTTGAATTTATCCACCTAAATGAATGGTGAAAAGTGAGTGTTAATAGAAGCAGCAACTCTCCAATAAAGCTTGTGCAGGCTAATAACCCTGGAAAAAAAATATATATATATATTTTCTTACTTAGTATTTTTAGTTATTTCCAAATATCTAAAATCAAGATGCATTTACTTTGCAAAGCAAAATTACTATTAAGCTATTAAGCCTTATTTCCAAAACAGAAGAATGTATCATAGTTGAATGAATGCTTAAAACAAGAAGAAAAAAAATACAATAGTAGATAGCAATACTAGTAAATTCTTGTTAAAAATTACATCAGAAATGTAACTTTTAATCAAAAATGTACATGTACACACAAACTGACGACCAGTCGCAACTTTCAGATGCCATCTTTATTTTTCTAGCAGTCACAGAATGGAAAGCACAGGATTCTGGGATGTCAAAGGCAATGAAGGATAGATCTACGCTAGCCTGGCTGCGCCCGCCTACGCACTTCCGCTCAATTTCATGTATGTACGAGAGTCTGGTAGAACCAGGCTAGATCTACGCTGCCTTCAAAAATCTATCAGATGAAGGTAAATCAGGAGACAGGAAGTGAAACTAACATTGCATTTGGATGTGCCTCGATGCCTTCCGACCTTGGAATGTGTCCTCCAAAGGCAGAATTTAGCATCGCAGCCAGAGAGACCTTAATTACTGGTGATAACCAAGTGCACACAGCTGAACTAAATGACAAATCAATTAAACACCATGACAACAAACTAAGGGGAATGTTGCAAACGTTCCATAAAGAGTGGGTGTGACAATGACACTTTAAGGAATATATGGGCAAAGAGGGAGGACATGCAGTGATTCTTTGATAGATACACACTGTCATTATTATTTCCATTTAGTCATTTAGCAGACGCTTTTATCCAAAGCGACTTATAAAGAGTCATCGCGAAGAGGCAAAACAATGCAAGAAGTGCTCGAAATACAAAGTGCAGGCATTTTCAGAATAGCATAAACCAGACAAGCAAGGATTAAAGGGATTTTTTTTTTTTTTCATTTTATGAAGTTAAGTGCTCACGGAAGAGTTTTCAGTTGTCTTTTGAATGCTGTTAAGGATAAGGGTGGGCAGATCATTCCATCAGCATGGAACGTGTGAATGAGAATGTTCTAGAGAGTAATTTTGTGGCTTCTCTGTGATGGTA